ACATTTATAAATGTCATAGTTTATGAACTAAATATTTAAGTCACAATTAAATATTTAGCTTGTTAACTAAATATTTAATTTGTAAGTTAAATATTTAGTTCATAAACTATGACATTTATAAATGTATGAATCATATGGTGAAAAACTGACTTTGAAAAATAAATCTGTTATTTTTTTCTTATGAAAGGTAAAACAAAAAATATTGGTGGTGATTTTTGACTGTGTAACTTTACAAATGGCACCCTATAGCAATAATCTAAGAATAGGAAGCTGCCTGGTTGATGATAAAACAAAAGGAAAAATGTCCTTTATCACCACTGAAGACAACTGTTTACCTAACAGTTTAACAAAAGGGTGGAGCTGCCAGTTGAGTTGCCTTCGAGCACCTCTGTTTGTCCTCAACATGCCRGTGCTTGTTTCAGTTCACGCTCTGATTTTACGCTACGCAGCGCGTTGACATCCGGCCTCTCTGTCCCAYAGATTGAAGCTGAGCGTTTGAGCGGGGCGCCGCTGACCGGGGYCTCCACCAGCCAGCCCGGCTTGCTGTCCCGACCGCTGCTGCCGGACGTTCCGGTCATCAGCGGCGTGGAGGAGAGCAGAGGTGCCGCTGCAGAGCCGGAGGACAAGGAGGAGCTGGAGTTTCCCCACGACCTGCTGCCCAGTTTGGACTTCAGCAGCGAGCTCRACATCTGGGAGTCCTCGCTGGGGTACGGACACCAGCGCTCACACTTTTTTCACTTCCTGTTAGAAACACGTATTAACCCCCCCACTTATATATGTGCATGTATCTGCACAAAAAGTAAGAAAATTAATGTTTGGCTGAGGTGTGTAGTAGCTAAGTACATTTACTTTGTTACACTACTGAAGTAATTTTTTTGAGGATCTTTGTTGTAACAATGCTYCTTGTCATTATTAATAGTTTTATAGAGATGCACAATACATTCATYGTCATCGCAATAACAGCCTGAGCAACAAGCACATCACAAAACACTGCATTAAGTGCAATCACAGAAAAGCTTGGGAGTATTTGACCAATCAAATGGAGCCCATCTCGTATTTGGCCAATCGGATGGACCTTGCCTGCCCCCCTATGTAGATGCAGGTGTACATCATACTGAACAAGTTTAGTTAGAGTCACAATGGCTGAGAACAAGATAAGTGAGGAAAATGTTAGAGACAATTAATGTGATTAAAAAACTACCGTGTTTATTCAAGTATAATACGTAAAATTAAATCCATAAAATCATCCATAAAGTTGGGGGGTAGTATTAAACTCCGATAAATATTTTTACTTGTGTATTTTAACTGAAATATCGGCTTCAATCACAAAATTATTGAGTCTAGAAATGAGACTGCGTCGTAAAAATCAGTTGAAGCGAGCTTACCTCTGACACTCCTC